AGCACAGCAAACTGCACTCCCTGTAGAATAAATACTAACAGAATCTACTCTCTGTGTGACTTGTAGAAGAAGCAGGCATCCAGTCCAGACAGAATCACTCTGTATGGCCTAATGGTCAAACCCATCCAACGCTTTCCTCAGTTCATTCTGCTGCTGCAGGTGAGTGACCGACACACCAGCGAGGGCAGGCTGATCACACATCAGTCTCAACTGGTTTAATCATCTGCAATTGTATGTTCATCATCATAAATGTACCTTTCCTAAGTCATCTGTAAAATCTGTCAAAAGGCTAATAAGTATGTTGTTAAATAATGATTTAAAAAAAACAAAATACATTCAGAAAATTGTATAAAAATATCAGGAAAACTCATCTGATCAATATTTACAGGAATTAATCTGCTCACAATTCATCCAAATCTCTCGTTTTACACAAACTTCCTGCAATTATTGTGTTCACTGTTTGGGTTCATTGTACAGCTTTTAATAGTAATAATTATTAATAATAATAATTTGAAATATCCATAAAATATGTCACTTAATTCAGTTTGCCAAATGGGGGTCCCTTAAGGACAAATGTTGGGAACAAGTGATGTACAAACTTGAAGTCACCAGTGCACATCCACTGAGAATGGACTTTACAGTGAAGGAGACATCTTGTGTCCAGCAAGAAAACTTTAAAAATGAACATTTGCATATTCATAGATTTGGGAATTTTTTATAAATGAGAAAGAGTAGGTGTCTTTTTAAGGATTTTAATTAACTTTTTTGCGGAAAAAACCCACATCAGACACATGTTATTGTTGCAAGCAGACTATTTGTATATATGACTTAATACTTGTCTGGAGAGGATCTTAAAAATACGTATTGAAATTGAGTTAGAACACTGATTGCTTACTTACATGTCTGTTAACTGTAAATCACTAAAGCTGTCCCTGGTTATGAAGCTTGTCAGCGTTTTCAAACAGGAAATGTAAATTTTTCAGAAATGGGCAGTATGTGGTATGCAGTCGAGTGGAATATTTCAAGGCCCGAAACTTTGTGTTGGAGTTTCTGACAAGAGGAAGTAAAAGGCAGTTACAGCTGTCTGCTGCAATGCATTGTGCATCCTGCATGGTAAAAATGGCTTTAAATCTTCCCCCTCAACACCTGCTATTACAAAAGTAAGACAAGCAAGTGTTATTCATATGGTTATTCTCTTATTCTGCCATCCTTAACAGTTACAGATATTGGAAATCATTGCTTGTGTCTGATACAACTGTTTGGAAGATCAAGATAAAAAATCTGACCTTTATCTGAATTGGGCCACATATGACATTGGCTCAAATCAGGATTGAAAAGATCGGATTCGATGTGATTTCATACTGTCAAAACAGTACATTATTATGGTTCTTCTCAACTTTGGGTGAGTTAACATTCTGTCTTGTGTTGCTGTTGCATTGTATCAGGACATGTTGAAGAACACTCCAAAGTCCCACACTGACCGGCTGCCACTGCAGCTGGCTCTCACTGAGCTGGAGACCCTGGCCGAGAAACTCAATGAACAGAAGCGTCTTGCTGATCAGGAGGCTGAGATCCAGCAGTTAGCACACAGCATTGGGGACCGCAGCCTTAACAAGGTGACACATAATGCACATGAGCAACCATTTGCATCTAACCTATGAGTTGTGTTGTGTGAGACTGAGATTGCAATATATTTGTAAAGCTCTGTCACCACTACAGAAACACTGAAGTATGGTAGGGTTTTCTGACAGCTGTTAGTTATTGGTTTGATTAATGGTTTAATAATGTGTGCATTGATTACTGATGCTGGCTGGTCAGGCTCCATTTGGTCAATTTGTAGATCATAAACCATCAATTGTAGTTGAGTTGGAACAGCCCTGTCATTCATTCCAAACAGGCTCTATATAAGCTCATTTACTTATATATTTTATTTTACTGAGAGCGTAGGAAGGGATCTGCCATAATTAGTGAACTGCTTTGTGTTTCTAGCTGCTGAACTCGGAGCAGAGGCAGCTGATTCAGTGCGAACTGCTGACTGAAATTGTTTATGGGGATAAAGGTCAAGTTCTCAAGTCGAAGGAGCGAAAGGTCTTTCTCCTCAACGACACCCTGATTTGTGCCAATGTCAACCTGAAGTAAGTACCTCATAAACCCTGAAGCTGCTCTGTTTTAGATGTAGAATATCTCCTTTCATGTATTCTTTGCTTGTTAAACCTGATATTGGATGAGTATATTGTTAGAAGAATGTTTGTATTTTGAGTCCTAGTTGTCATTGAATGGAACAATCACACATTTTGTCAGATGTTTTATCTTGGAGTGTCCTTTACAGGGGTAGGTCAAATACAGTACATTGGTTAGCCTAGCTCAGCACAAAGACTGGAAGCAGGGTGAAACTGCTTTGCTCTGTCAAAAGTGAAGTAAAAATGGCGATGTCAAACAAAAGCTGCATTATTTACACGTTTTTTTTTTTGTTAAATAAAATATAAATGTGGAAATGCTGTTGCTTTTTGGAGCAGTTAGCATCAGAATCGTGATATATCACAGAGCAATCTTTGGCGAGTGGAATTTGCTCAGATAGTGCTCCCAAACAACCTCCAGCTGCAGTGAGTCCTGTTCTTATGGAACCACCAGGCTCTGTAGTAATGCTGAATAACCATGTTATGGGCAGTGGGGGTCAGTGGGTACAGGATGAGACAGCAGGATGTCAACACACAACTTTTGCACACTGTAACTGCCATGTGGGCGGCTGTGGCTCAGAGGTAGAGCGGGTCATCCACTAATCGGAAGGTTAGCGGATCAATCCCCAGCTCCTCTCACTGCATATGTCCTTGAACAAGACAAACCCTAAATTGCTCCTGATGCTGTGCATTGGTGTATGAGTGTGTATAAATGATTAGTTTCCATTCTGTTTTCCGTTCTGGTGAGCAGTTGGCACTGATGGCAGCCACTGCCATCACTGTATGAATGTGTGTCAATGGGTAGTCGAGTGTCGTTGAAAGACTAGAAAGGTGCTATATAAGTACAGTCCATTTATCAATTACCATGTAGTTAACATTTAAGAATATGTTCGTCCACCAGGGGTCCCCCTGACATCAGCAGCCTGGTTCCTGTTGGTCCTAAGTACATGGTGAAGTGGTGTGCCCCCCTGCTGCAGACCCAGGTGGTGGAGGTGGGACAGGACAGTCTCCAAAGCAGGGACAGTGTCCTCACAGCCAGACGTCAGAGCTCCGCCTCCAGCACTACAGGTACCTCCATCACTCACACACACACTGACACACAGTGAATACAAAGCATTCTCCCCGAGGGGATTAAAGGTGATGAAAAGGTGATCATAAATTATTTATAATCACCCCTCACTCCCCATCCCCCTACCCTGTCTCTCTAACCCCATGTGGTCGAGGCAGATGGCTGCCCACCTGTCACCAAGTGCTTGCTCATGGTGGGAACCGTTGGGTCTCTGTAAATAAATTTATACTGTACTGTACTTGTACTGTAAAAAAAAAAAAAAAAAAAAAAAACTGAAATTTTATAAAAACTAATTTTAAAGGCAACTGTCTTCACTTAATATCTATAGTTTAAGTCAAACTAAAATTTTTGAGATAAAATAAATAAATATGGATTTAAATATTTTAAAAACATTTTGCCAACCTAATAATAATATTTTGTTGAGGGTTAGGGTTAACTTTTCTTCTTAAAAAGAACTTAAATCTAAAAAACTTCAATCTGCATTTCAAAAGTTGTTCACAGTGAACCAAATTTTTCATTATTTGGGTCCTTGAAAATTAAATAGTTGCAGCTGAAAATATTAAATTATGAACTGTTTTTCACTTGAATAGTTTTCTAAACAATTTTTGAAATACACACATTTTTTGTTTCTAAAACTTAAAGATTTTTTTTTCTAACAAAGAAATTATAATTATAATTTATTTAAAAACATAAGAGTTTGAATTTCATTTGAAATTATGAGTTAATTATATTGTAGTTTTCTCCATTTTTTTCTTTGACTGTGTTCTGGTTACATAAAAAAGTAAACGCTTTAACTCTTTTTTTAACTTTTTTTGTACTTTAACAGTTTTTCTAAAATTCATATATCACAACTTATTGAATCGTAACCACTGTATCTTGATGGTAAATGGTAAATGGTCTGTACTTGTATATTGCCTTTCTAGTCTTCCAACCACTCAAATCGCTTTTACACTACACGCCACATTCACACAGTGATGGCAAAGCCAATTAAACTGAAATGAACTCATTTATTAAGTCACATTCAAACACCGATGCATAGCATCAGTAGCAATTTGTGGTTCGGTATCTTGCTTAAGGACACTTTGACACGCTCTACCTCTTGAGCCGCCATACATACTGTGTCACCTAATTCTTGCCACTACACAGCCCTAGTAATGAAACACAAGGAAAATTAAAGCTGCAAGCAGTGTTGGGCGGGACCTCGCACTCCACGCAACTTGGGGTGTGCTGCGGCCGCGTCACGTGCCATTGTAACAGGTTCGGACCAAAACAGGAAAATTTCACGTAAATCAGATCA